AGAGATCATGAAAACAGCCCCTGTGGATCTCGTGTGCTGCTGACGCCACTGAACATCAGTCTGATCGTCCTCGCGTCTCACAGGAGACGTCAGATAAACTGATGCTTCAGCGCAACACTCCCAAGTTTCTGAGTTTGAGTCTGAATCAGCATCTGCAGCTGAAGTTTCATTCTGACCACCGTTCACAGCACACAGAAACTGATCCTACACACACATCTGTTTGTCCTCTCGCACACTAAAGACTCTATACCGGCCTCACTCGACCCATATCAGTTTGCCTACAGCTGGATACAAGATTTCCGGACAGAGCGCCCCAGACAGTGAGACTGGGCCATCCTCCACCATCACTCTGAGCACAGGTACACCCCAGGGGTGTGTGCTCAGTCCCATCCTGTTCTCCCTCTTCACCCACGACGGTGTACGAAATCGCTAATAACTCCTAAACCATTAGTCGCAGACTCAAGTGTCTTATCTCGTTGGAATCCTTGGCTCACGACGGACAAAATGCATTTTGAGTTTGCTTAAGATTGGAACTTCGGAGCGCTTATCGCCAATCATTAGTTCAGATAGTAACTTCAAATCGCTTATTACGAATCATTTGGTTCAGATCCGAACTTCGGAGCGTTTATCGCGAATCATTTGGTTCAGATCGGAACTTCGGAGCGGGCTCGCAAATCTTTTGATTCAGATCTGAACTTCAGAGCGGGTTCGTGGATCTTATGACTTTAAAGTGCTTATCGCGAATCATTTGGTTCAGATCGGAACTTCGGAACGCTTATCGCCAATCATTTGGTTCAGATCGGAACTTCGGAACGCTTATCGCCAATCATTTGGTTCAGATCGGAACTTCGGAACGCTTATCGCCAATCATTTGGTTCAGATCGGCACTTCGGGGGGCTTATTGTGAATCATTTGGTTCAGATCGAAACTTCGGAGCACTTATCGCCAATCATTTGGTTCAGATCGGAACTTCGGAGCGTTTATTGTGAATCATTTGGTTCAGATCAGAACTTCAATGCGTGTATTGCAAATCATTTGATTCAGATCGGAACTTCGGAGCGGGTTAGCGAATCTTTTGATTCAGATTGGAACTTCGGAGCGCTTATCGTGATTCATTTGGTTCAGATCGGAACTTCAATGCGCATATCGCGAATCTTTTGACTCAGATTGGAACTTCGGAGCGCTTATCACGAATCATTTGGTTCAGATCGGAACTTCGGAGCGCTTATTGAGAATAATTTGGTTCAGATCGGAACTTCGGAGCGCTTTTCGCGAATCATTTGGTTCAGATCGGAACTTCAATGCACGTATCGTGAATCATTTGATTCAGATCGGAACTTCAATGCACGTATCGCGAATCATTTGATTCAGATCGGAACTTCGGAACAGGTTCACAAATCTTTTGACTCAGATTGGATCTTCGGAGCACTTATCACTAATCATTTGGTTCAGATCGGGACTTCGGAGCACTTATTGCGAATCATTTGATTCAGATCGGAACTTCAATGCACGTATCACGAATCATTTGATTCAGATCGGAACTACAGAGCACTTAATTGCGAATCATTTGGTTCAGATCGGAACTTCAATGCACGTATCGTGAATCATTTGATTCAGATCGGAACTACAGAGCACTTAATTGCGAATCATTTGGTTCAGATCGGAACTTCAATGCACGTATCGTGAATCATTTGATTCAGATCGGAACTACAGAGCACTTAATTGCGAATCATTTGGTTCAGATCGGAACTTCAATGCACGTATCGTGAATCATTTGATTCAGATCGGAACTACAGAGCACTTAATTGCGAATCATTTGGTTCAGATCGGAACTTCAATGCACGTATCGTGAATCATTTGATTCAGATCGGAACTACAGAGCACTTAATTGCGAATCATTTGGTTCAGATCGGAACTTCAATGCGCGTATCGCGAATCATTTGATTCAGATCGGAACTTCGGAACAGGTTCACAAATCTTTTGACTCAGATTGGATCTTCGGAGCACTTATCACTAATCATTTGGTTCAGATCGGGACTTCGGAGCACTTATTGCGAATCATTTGATTCAGATCGGAACTTCAATGCGCGTATCGCGAATCATTTAATTCAGATCGGAACTTCGGAACAGGTTCACAAATCTTTTGACTCGGATCGGAACTTCAAAGTGCTTATTGTGAATCATTTGGTTCAGATCGGAACTTCGGAGCGTGAATCTTTGATCTTGTATATCTTTTCTATATATCTTATATAATCTTATATATACTGTATGTATATATATATATATACTGTATATATACACACACACACACAAACTCACAACTCTGACTTTTGTCCCACAATTTTGAATGTAACTCTATTTTATATATATATATATATTTCTCAAAAAAGCCAGAGTTTATAAATACATATATACTTTTTTTTTAATCTCAAAAAGGTGAATTTTCACCAAAAGGTGAGGAGTTTGCATTGATGCAACAGCGACACACACACACACACACACACACACACACACTCACACTCACGCTCACACACACACACACACTCTCTCTCTCTCACACACACACACACACACTCAGCACATCACTGGCAGCCACTGACAGTCAGATAATCTTCATGAACTGAGACCTACAGCCCATCCATCTCTCCTCATCTGTAGATGGCGACTGGAAAGAGGATTTCCACAGAGTGGATGATTATACAAACACACACGCTCCTCTGACATCCAGCATCTGCGTGAAAACTGTCACTGCTGCTTACTCGAATAATCAAGCGTTAATGTGTTTGATGAAATAAGCGTCCCTGGGCCGCCTGCTTTAAAACCACCAGACCAAAGGAATAACATGTGGTTTGCAGCTTTCATGAGAAAAAATGGCAAGTAACTTATTCAATAATTCAGCTAAATGTACAAGAAAACTAATTATGAAAATAAACAAAATGTCATTAAATACTGCTGTTGATTGATGTTCGAAATTATGTTTTTTTTAGCTGTACTGGTTAAAAATACAATACTTAAAGCACTCTCAGATACTGAAAGTACTTTTTGTTTATCACTTGTAATTGTCTTTTTCCCCTTCATTCCTTTATATTTGCTTGTATGTTTTGAAGCTATATTTAGTTGGTTAAATTCTTAACAATTGTTTTGATTTATTATTAATTTGAAATTATTTTAAAAAGTAGCCTGCTTATATAATTGAATAAAAATGCACAAAATAAATTTGATATGAAAATGTAGCCATGTTCAGTAATATTGAAAACCGAGGATGCAACGCATCGTGATATCATAGTGAATCGAATCGTGAAACCAGTGAAGATTCACACCCCTATTAGAGTGCGACACAGGTGTTTTGTGTGTGTGAGCATGAGAAACAGTACAGCACTGGAATCAATAAACCACAGCAGAGTTAATAATGAAAGCTTCCTGTGAATGTGAGCATTTGATTGTCTGTCTCACAGTGATTCAGCTTCAGTTCATCAGTGTTTTCTCTCTTTGACCTTCCTCTGGAGATCTGAGAGTGAGCTTCTGGAGGAGCCTCTCAGTGAGACCGCAGCGTCTGACAGAAAACACGTCCCATAATCCACCTCTGCTGACGGGTCGGAGGATACAAGCAACTACCAGAAAAAACAGAGAGCGAGAGAGAGCTAAAGGGGTCATATGATGCTGCTAAAAATAACATTGTTTGGTGTATTTGGTGTAATGAAATGTGTTTATGCGGTTTAAGGTTCACATTATTTTCCACATGCTGTACATTATTGTTTCTCCTCTATGCCCCGCCCTCCTCAATCGCGTCGATTTTTACAAAGCTCATCGGTCTGAAAAAGCGAGGTGTGCTCTGATTGGCCAGCTATCCAGTGCGTTGTGATTGGCC